ATTGAGTCATATTAATGATGTCTTCACAGAGACCATGTAAAACAGCAGTGATGCATCACACATGTTGTCAGTATGTCAAGAACACACAGCTGAAGTCCCTCTTGTTGTTTCCATCCACATATTTGATCACTTTAACAATGAATCCTAAATGAAAGGATATGAGCTTCTCAGAACAGTGAGTTCTTCTGGGGTTAATGTAATGGAGATGACCTCTATGTTCTTTTCCTCACAGTCACATTGATTACTGAAATGTATATGGGAGGTGGTGTAATAGAAGATGTGTTTGAAGATGGCATGAAACTGATGCTGTCTGGGACAAGTAAATCATCACCTTCTAAACAGTTATGTATGTTACATCACAGCAGTGAGTCACACTGTCTACAAACTACAGTATAATAGTTGTTATCAGAAATTAACAAAATATTCCATATAATGAGAACTAATGTTTCATACTGCCTCAAAAGTTGAAAGAATCTCAGATGCTGAATGAACATTTCAAACTGTTCTTTTGTCATTTTTTGGTATTGATTTGTGTACAATTCTAATAATAATATATACAAGAGTTTGTGTAATTGAGACATTAGTCAGAAAAATGGGACAACCTTTGCATTGTGTAGAAAGGGTATTCAATTCCACCAAAAGAAATGATTTATTTTTAAATGTAAAAAGAACATCCCTTTTTTCAAAATATGGTATTTTAAAGATATTTTTATAAAATCTATAGCCTAAGGTTCTTAGATCATTATTGGAAAGGGTTTAAACAATGTTTTCCATGACTGTTCAATGAATAATGAAACAATTGTTGCAAAAGCAAATGTGGAACTGTCTGTAGTAAATTAGCTCAAGGTAAATATGAATAATTAATTATAAATCATTCTAATTAATTATAAAAAATTGGATCGGTTTATAGAATTTTAGCAGAATTAATACCACAATCAATTAACCTGTTCATCCAGCGATGAGTGTGAAAATTGAACAATATAACTTTATTAAAAGAAAGATTATCCTACTATAACCAAACTTAGTTCTTGCATTAACAACAACGAAAACCCAGGAAAATACACAGGCTATGATAATTAACACACACAGCTGGAGAGAATGAGTCATCATATCAGTAACCATAGTGACAAACTCTGGCAGGAAACTAGAACAAAGGAGACTGAATACTTAATAGAAACAAACTAAAAGTCCATTCAAATTAAACTAAACCAAAAATAACAGATTATGTTTTATTTACAACAGGAAAGCAAAAATGTATAGCATTGTTTGAAATTCAGCAGATCAACAGCCCTGAGCAAACCATCCGTTTCTTAGTTGTTCTAACGCACTCTTCTACAATAGGGGTAGAGATACTTTGTTGAATGGGAAGACAAGGTCGCAGCCTGGCACAAACTTACTTAGGGGCCCTTAGAAGACTTCTAGCTTAGCATTTAGAAATGAACATTACTCAGCATCATTCTGAATTAACATTCAGAAATTAACATTACTTAGCATCATCTTCACATAGTTACAGGACATCTTTTTAAATGATATCCTGTAATTAAGTTACAGGACATATCGGGAGATTTACCAGCTCTGGACTCCCAGTAGGCTACAGAAAAAGAAAGTTGCTTTATTTTATGGTAGCCAAGCCTCCATGGACTTACCCGTCCCATGTATATAAAGATAATAAATTCTTTGTTTACGAATTACAAGGATAAGTCAGATCATTGGCAGAGGTATTTGTGTGAACATACGGTAGTATTTCCAAAGTTTATTACGCGTATGTAGGGGATAGAACCAGTATGTTGTTGGAACGTCTGGGAGAATTTTCTGCCTTATCAGGTGCCAACACCCGTTTGGCTGCTACATGACCTCTTAAAGGTGGTAGGAGAACAGTTGTATTCGGATAGGCCTGGGAGTGGGGAGACAGACAGACCACCCGTGGAGATCCCTGCTAGGCCATAGAGGGGTATCATATGTATGGGTTAAAAGTTAAAGATATTGCGGCCTTGTATTATATGGAGTTAGTCGATGGATAGTACATCGCCGAATGCAGCAGTGTGGACTGAAGTAAACAACAACTTAACTATATTTTAATATACACGTAATAATATCTGGAAATACTACAGTTTCTCTGTTCACGCTCCACTTCATCTGCTAAAGAATTTTTTGATGCAGTGACATTTTCATTTTGCAATGTCAAACGTTGCTAGAATGGTAATGTAAAATGTAAATTTAAATACAAAATGCCATTTTACATTGCATTGTCATTTTGCATATTATACATTTCAAATTGAATATTGCTACCCATATGCCTCCATAGTATAGGGCATGTTTCCAAACGTTTTTGAATTTCTGAATTAACATCTGAGTTTCTTAAAGGGCTGATGTGCTTTTTGTTGTCCAAGTCAATTGTGTCCTAAACCACATTAAATTAGGACACTGAAGGAAAGGCAATCACCAAACATCTATCCTCAGTCCATATGCTGGATGTATTAATGGAAAGATTGTACAAACTGTCTGGTTACTTAAAACATTATGATCTGGTTTCAATGTCTTCTCCATCAATAAAGAAGATCCTTTTCAAACGTGCTAATCTAAAGACATAAACAGATCAAACAGTAAAGCATGGTGTTAGTCTATGGCTTAATGTCATGCTGTCAGGGTCAGTTGTACGACACAGTGTATCCAGTTCTAAGAGCTGAGCCATATTTGTCAATACCAACTACAGAGTCCAAGTCGTGGAATACTCATGTTACTGTAAATGAATGTTCGTCTGACTGGCAGGAGACAGTTAAGGCGGATGCCTGACATGGTCACAACTGCGGAACATATATCACATTTAGAAATAAAGTGATGGTTTAGTGTAAATTGAAAGACAGAGATTATTTCAAAAGTGTGGTCTCAGTAAAAGAAGGGCCTTGTTTTTACTTCAAAATACATTAACATTAACTTTTCGATTGAGGAAATAAATGTAGCATGTTTTTATGCATTTCTGAGATGTTTTATTTTAGTTCTATTTAGTTCTATTTTATAGGCTATTCGTGTTCTCTGTGGTTCTCCAACAATGTTTTTTTTTTTCGTCTTCAACTGAATCATTTTAATATCCTATTGAGATTCATTGAAACAAATTAAATCCCTTAACCTGTCAGTGTTATGCTGTTAGAATTATACTAAGATCCATATCATTGCAATTGATATCGTACATACGTTTCACATTTTACAAAGACAGATCTCTTCCTCCATCTACTGGCCAAGTGTTTCAGCAGTGCAATGTTGTTACATGAGTGGAGGTTCTATGAGATTGTTAAAGATGCAGAGCTAATTATTGGTGGTCAATACGACTAGCTGAGTTTATTAACTGTTGTTTTATCCTTTATTACTTTAAATTATAGATTGTCAAATTAAATACAGCCATAAAGCATAAGTATTAATTAGATTATAATCGCTTTAATCTATATTACTTAGATTATAACTTTAATATGTGTCTACATGTATGTAAGACACTCCTATTCACTGGTTATGATAGATAGAAAAACAAAGCAGTAGCATACTGAAGCAAAATATATGGTTTGTTCATTCTGACACCTCTCGTCAAGGTCACAATAAGAGAAAGCTGATGCACAAGAACCTTACAATGCAATCTAAATGGGAACAAGACCTGGAGTGCTCATTCAGTGATGATGAATGGAAGTTGGAACCATATGCGAGAAAGCTCAGACTCTGTCGATCAATAGCCACCACCATAAACTCATTCAATTTAATGTGATGGATACACAGAGTTTATTTCACCCCAGTAAGACATACACGCCTTTAAAAGTAACTATTCAGAGCTATGTCCCAGGTGTAAAGTGTAGAGAGGGCCACTTTTACACATGTTGACCTTGAGTTATACTGGGAAGGGGTCTTAGAGATAATTGGCACAGTTGTAGGTATTAATATACTCAGGGAGCCCATTATCTTGTTGGGGGGCACTTCATTACTGGATGAACGAAGGGGAGTTAATCTGAGGTTTGTTAGATTAGCTTTTTTAACTTTGAGGTGGAAGCTACATTTTAAACCACCTACTACTTCTATGTGGACTATGTACCTCTTGAAAAATTTGCATTTTGTTTGAAGAAACAATAATAATTTTAATAATTTTATTTTAATATGACTTTAATAATAATTTTAATATGACTTTAAATGCTTTTTTCTTGTTTAATATGTTTATGGTTTATTTAGTGGCACTGTGGGAGGGAGGATTGGGGTGTGATATAGGGTTGTGATGTGGAAGGATTTTTCAATTTGTATTTTGTATTGTTTCTCCTTTATTTTTATTTTTTTGAAGAAAAACCCCAATAACAATGCTCTAAAAAAAAGAACCTTACAATGCTCAGATTACCCACTGGAGACTTAGCTATTCACACAGATTCTGAAAATGTAGGCTACCCCTGTCAATTTCTCTCATAGCAGCAGGCTACCATATTTTTGGTGGTGTGGTGAAGGTGAAATGTTCTAAACGCTGATACAGTAATATTACATTTAACATCATTACAATGTGCTACATTATTGGTTAGCCTATATTATATTAGCCATATAAATCACGTTTCATCTTTAGGCCATATTTAGCACATTTGGCCACGCCCCCCAAAAATATGGTATGAGAAAAAAAAGCTGACTAATAAAGCTGTAATATTCGTGCGCAGCACAGTGACTTGCATGGTCTCAGATATATTACACATTAGTACATCCACTAGTGGACAGTAGGCTATGTGTTCACTTTATGTGGCGGGCTATACATCCTTAGTATTTTTTATTCTTAGACCACCAAATTGTGATTGTGATGTTACAAAATAGATTTTCGCTGGGTGTATGTTTACTTCTAGAGAAGATTTTAATTAGAGGTGTGCAATAAATCTGACTCAGCAGCACGTCCCAGTGTTACGTTAAGGCAGAGGCCGTATCCAAGTCCGTAACTACAAACCTCCTCCTCCTCCTCATCCTCCTCCTCCTCCTCATCATCATCATCACAACAACATGGCGCCAGCGTACAGCTGGACTGCACACAGACGCCACGGCACTTATTCAACAAGTTACTTCACTTACTAAACGCAGCGTCGCGAAGATATTTGTAGTTTTTCTTTTTACTTTTATTATTATCCTAGTTCGTTTGTTCTCTTTGACAAGCAAATACCAGACATTTTGGTCATCGTGGTCTCAAAAACTCACCTGCTTAGCAAAAAGAACAGACAGACTGGACTCGCTGTATTTCTCAAAGTGAAAGAAAAGTGAGCACTGAGATTACGCAGACGGGAAAAGTATTTTTTCCCCAGAAAAACAAGCCATGTAACTGTGCTCGAAAGGCTTTTCTTCAGGGGACCTGCATCTAAACATGAGCGAAAATAACTGTCCACTTGAAGAAAGGGATAGAGACAGACTTCCTCCTATACTAAACCATGTAAGTGTTTTTTTTTCTGTATTTCAATAGGCTATTGAAGACTGGTATTAATTTACAAATATACAATATCAAAAAATATATGTTATCATGAATGCAGCATTTTTGTGTCTTTAAAACACAATAAATTAGACCAACCCCCCCCCCCCCATTTTAATGCATCACTGCTTGTGAATTAGTGAATTAGAATTTTCTTAGTGTTGAAAGCACATAGAACACAGACATTTCGTTTCTGCAAAACAGCACTGATGCTTCTGGTTGCGCAATAAGTGACAATCTCAATTAACACGTTTTGTTTACATCCACTAATTGTTTAAATCTGTTTTAATATGTTTTTTTTAAAAAAAAAACTGATACTTCTTTTTATTCAAATATTTGAATAAGAGGGAGGGGCATATTATTAGTAGCCAACTACTTATTTTTCTTTTTATGTTAATCTGTCAGTTTTGTGTAGAATAGTTTATTGTAGTATCTGTTTTTCAGTGCCAAATGTGCATATAGGTGTACTGCAGCACTGCAGAAATGTTGGAATATAACTCAGATTGTTTCATCAGCAGAGCTTGGATCGTGGACCCAAGCTCCCTTTCCCATCTTACGGAAGTTTCATCTCCACCCTGAATCACAAAAGAGAGACAGGGAGCCATAGTTTTTCCTCTCCGTTCCTGCTACCTGCAGTTAAACAAGGTCAGACTCATTCCAGTGATGCCACTTTTGGTTAATTCTTGTTAGATAACTTAATTATAAGCTGGTAACACAAGCATAGGTTACTATGGCCTTAAAATGATATGCATGAGTGATTTAAAGGTAGTGCCCTTTTACAACACGGCAAAAAAACTCATTGCATTTCAAAGCTGTCTTCGGCTGCTCTGAATTAATAACCACTTCACTGTTTTAAGCAGCTGTTTTCCTTTCTTTGTCTTGGAGATCAAAGACCTTGTCTATGTGATGCATTCATCTTCAAGTCTCTGACAACAAGGCACAATTGTGTTCACGTCTAACATGTCTTTAGCACAGATGAGATGGGTGGGAACTCGCTATGACACTACATGGGCCTGAGGCTTGTTCCGACTCTAGTCCACAAGTACAATATAGTTTTGTTAATTTTAACTCATCAATCAGCTTTATTCAGTGCATTTGTTGATAATGAAAGGACTAGGGTTCCTTTAAATAGAATAACAATTTGTGCTGATGGTAATTGCATGTCACCAGGTAGTTATTGGGATGCTGAGAGTCGTTGTTTTGATAGTTGTTTCTGGTAAGATAACAGCTTGACAAATAATTGAGGGTCTTAGAGGGCATGATGAACGGCCCACCTTGCTCATTTTGTGAGCTGCCGTCTAATTCATTTTGTGTGTGTTTGTTTTCAGTGAGAGAACTTCCCCCACTATTTCCAGATGTGAGACATAAGCATCGTATCTCTATTGATGTTCTCCCTCCAGAGGTGAAAGCTCGTTTTGTTTCAGAGCCAATTATTCCCATTCGAACCAAAACTGCCAAAGAGTTTCAGTACGTACTTCTCCTTCCCTCGGTAACCCATAGTATTCACAGATCAGTTACAGTATGTTTAACCATGTCTTTGTCTGGCTGTAGGGACGATGTTGAAAGGGCAACTATCTCAGGGGATTGGAAGCAAGTCCATGATTTCTACTTGATCACATTCAACTCCTTTTTGGAACTCAATGGTGCCTTTAAGGTGTGTTGAAGCTCCCAATACAGTGTGTTCTGGTTTCAAGTGTTGTTTTTTGGTCACACTTTATAATAGGTGTCTTTAATTATAATGTACAAAATAACTGTATAAAGTAGTTATTGTGTTTATGTTGCATTGCAAATCCCATTTGCTGCTATACAGTGGGATACAGGTAAGGTTATGGACACATTTCATGATATGGTTAGGTTTAAGGCTAGGCTAAGATGTAAGGAAAGGGTCAACAGTGTAATCATAGATCTAATTACAAAAATGAATTACAGCTGTCAGTTTTAATTCACCTTTGGCTAAGCCACGCCCTAGAATGTAGATTGACCAATCACAGCGCAGCTAAGAACGAGCTCCCACAGAGGTGGGACACTTTTTCACAGCGCTTCATTGACTTTCAACACAGGCGCCTCATATTTTTGGTCTCGGCAGGCTATTACCGTCGTAGTTTTATCCAAAATATGGTTAAACGCTGTGCCTCAGGCGTTTGTAACACAGATACGCATTTCCCAGAGAGGTTGGAGGGGGTGACCGTTTTTTCCCTTCCCAAAACTGAAGTAAAATCCTGACAAGTGTCGTGTTTGGATTAAACTGTGTGGATGTCCTCAGTCAGCTAAACCCCGCAAAGATCAACAAGCACATCTTTTTTTACTTCTAACCTTACTGTGAGTGAAGTTATATTAGTTAGACCGTTTTATAATGTTTTAGGTTATGACTCTCATACCGGTTGTTGACACGCTAGCACATGCTGCTAATAAATACAACGCTATACTCGTGTAGTCTGTTTGCTTTGTAATAACGATTATAGAAGTGAATAGAGACCTACCCAGCTTTGCATGAACAGTATTGCTCCCTGATATTGTTAGTCCCAGCCTCCGTCCCGATTAGTAGGAAATGCGGTGGTTCATTTTTTGACTGTGACCGGTAACGTTATGCTTTTGCCTGCCTTGTTGTTTCTTGTGTTTCACCTGTCTTGAATATAGCCTTCGAACGCATATTGCAGCCCCTTTTGCCTACTTCTATCGGATACTTTATTTGCTGCTTTTAGTGCTTTATAAAAGTTTGATAACATTTTAGCAGGAAGAGCTGTTACAGCATAAGCCATGCAGAGCGCAGATGAAGTTTGATGGATGTAGCAACAGTAACTAAGGGGGGCGGGGCTTAGCCAAAGGTGAATTACATGGTATTTTTTTAAACAAGTACAATTTAAAAATTATATGTGCACAATAAGTGCATTGTGTCAAATTATTAATTTAAATGTTAGTACATGGTAGACTTTTAACTAGGTTGCTGTTGATTGTTTTCATATTGCTTGAAATATATATAAGTTTACTGTTAAGGGCCCAAATTATTCACAGCTCACTGTAAATTCTCTGTTAATTTTGTATGTGTAAAATTTAACAACAATCTTTTAATATATAAAACTTAAAAAAATATATATATATATATATATACAGTATATATTTCACCCGTGCACAGTTACTAATAGCATATAATTGACCTATCTAAATGTGTTTTTATTTAGACTCTTGAACAATGGTCATTTTATGAATGAAACATCCTTTTAAGTATTGTCAATGTTTTTAATAAGAACTCTTGGAAATCTGTGGAAAACATTTGAACATTTTGGTCTCCAAATGAATCAATGAGCTCATTGAGGGAGTAAAAAAGAACAGCTGCATATGGTTTCATCAGAAAATGTTATTTTTATATGAGGTGAATGTTTTACCACCCGTTTTATATGGGAAGTATATATAAAATGTAAGTGGATAAAAAGTGTGCCTAATGTTTTTATGTTGTAATGTTGTCCTTAGAAAGAAGCAAATGCTCCCTTCAACACTATTGAAGACTCAGGAATAAACATCAAATTTGTCAATATTGTTTATGATGCCTTGCTCCACACGGTACGTAAAGAAATTTTCCAATTCAAAAACTGACTGAACCTCTCTTATAATTGAATTACACAGTAAGCCAGTGCACAGTGCTCTTTCTGTTGTTTTGAATTTGATTTTAACTAAATTGGTTTAATCTGGCTAATTTGCAGCCCGCGGACACTCAGAAATCAGTCCTGAAGGGAATTATTAATAGCTTATTAAGAGAATGGAAAGGGTGAGTAGTGCATTGTGTTTGCTCACTGAAGCACTAAAAGAGATCAAGAAGTCTTTGCAGAAAAATGCGATTAAAAAAGAATCACTGTCGGCTTTGTTTCTGTATTTTTAGGCCCCGCACAAAGGATGACCTTAGAGCATATTTTGTTCTTGTGCAGGTAATGCCATTGTTTTTACACACTTGGGTTTTCTTTTTGTACATAAAGAAATGCATGTTTTTTTTTACGTTTTTTTTTTTTTTTTTTCTGTTCATCTCTTAAGAAAGCAATGCTTTCTTGTACTAAAACGTTTTGGCTTGATTAGTTGATCTTCAGTTTTAGTGAAACTACTTTAAAGTTATTAGAATTTAAGTTTTTGTTAAGTTAAAAAAAGTAGCTTCAAAATTAGCTACTAAAATAAAGTAGCTAACTACATTGAATATATTTATTAGGACAACATTCTAAATGAATAACAATAAGATAATATTATTAATACTGCTCTTATAATAAATGATAAGAGCAGTATTTATTCTCTAAAATGTATTTTCATATTAAAGTGGCAGAAAAATACAACTAATTATGTTTCAGAACCAGAATTTATATAAATTTGAAAACATTAATATCAGCATGTAAATGTTGTCAAATGTATCGACTTGGTACCGAAGTTGGTGCTTTTGAAAACATTACATGTAATTAAATAATGTGCAACAAAAAAAGATGTGAGGATTGCACTTTTTAGTGATTAATTTATTTAATCTGTGAACCTTAGTTGATTGATTTATGTATGCATTTGGTTAATTACATGAACCGAATGAACAAACTGATTTATCATAATGAATCATTCACCTAACACTAACTAAAATATGAGAGAGAGAAAAGATAGTTTAGGAGAGTGTGTCTGAATACTGTCTCAACTTGGTTAAAAAGCTTCATGCACAATACAATGTGATTAACAAATATAGTGTTGAGTTTAGATGTTCATTAGAAAAATAAGTTTTGAGAATAACTGAACTACAGCTGCGCTACAGAAATTTTTTTTATTTTAGCATCTTTTAGTTACTTTTTAGTCTTTTAGATACACATACACTGCTGGTCTCTTCACTCCTCTTACTAGTGACCAAACCCATGGCATTGATTCAAAATTGCCTTCATTACACGGAACCCACAGACATGTGATACTTTTCTGAAATACCTGTAATTTCCATTTGCAAAACCAAAGCAGTTATCTGTGTGCGATCCTATACATGTGCACTTATACAGCAAAATTGCTCTAATCTGTCTTTGAGTTGCCCTTTGTGTTGTCAGCCATGTTAAACACCCCAGGCTGAGTAAGAGGCGAACCGGAGTTGCAGGAAACTCTTGATCTCCTCTCTCACCACATGGCCCATTGACTCCAGCCATAGCTCTGCTCTAGTGCAGACAGATCGTGAGCTAAGTGTTTACTTCACACATGACCAGTGCAGGCTGGCCTGGGACTGTCCAAATAAGGACACAGCAACTGAATTTGAGGCTGGGAAGCCGTGGGCAGAGAGAGAGAGAGAGAGACGATGGCTTGGTTAGCAAAGATTCAGTTAGTTCTGGGGTTCAGATTTATGACACAATTTTTTCTCTCCATTTGATGGGAATCAGTGGTTGTGGGAGTTTAGACGTTTTCATAAGCGAAGTATGTACAGATGTCATCCTTTGCATATAGCGCTATTCATCTTCAGACTGTTGATGGGCTCCCTGACCTACATTTCCATGGAGGACACGGTGAAATTGAAAAGACGAGGCAATTATTGGGCTGATATGTCTGCTACCAATGTCAGGCAGCCTCTGTATATTGTGTTCACTGTGCCGAAGGAAGGGATGAGATCATGCTGGAGAGGAAAAGAGCTGGTTTCCGCTGCAATGCCACTTCTTATTAAAAGCCAGACTTCTTTCTCTGCTCCTAAACGAAAAGTTATATTTCCTTTTTGAAGTTTGCTGAAATGCTTCTCTGTGTCGCAGAACCCTCAGTACACCAGCCCCGCCACATATGTCATCTATGCACACTTACTGAGGCAAATAGCAGCCCTGGCTGAAGCAGACCACCATTTCCTGATGCACTGGTTTAAAAAGTGAGTCTGACGCAGCCAGTCTGTACAAGAGAGGAATTAAAGGGTTAGTTCACCCAAAAATGAAAATTCTGTCAGTATTTACTCACCCTCATGTTGTTCCAACCCCGTAAGACCTTCGTTCATCTTCGGAACACAAATTAAGATATTTAAGATATTAAGATCGCTCCTGCATACAGTCCATAGGCTTCTTGAGGGACTGGCTCTTGCTGTCCTCGAAAAGTCATTAAAGACATCGTTAAAATAGTCCAAGTGACTACAGGGGCTCAATCTTAAGTTTATCAAACGACGAGAACACTTTTGTGCGCAAAAAAACAACAACAAAAATAACGACTTTATTTCAACTATTCGTTTATTTCTCCCTCTGCGCGAGTCAGGTTACTAGTTTAATGGCGTATAAGCTTCTGTTATTGTACGTCACACGCATCACACACACATGACCAGCGTCGGCCAATAGTGAGCCTACGTGTGACGTAGCTTTACGCAATCACACTACGTTAAATGACTTACAGGCTCATGGAGAAGGAAGTGAATAGTTGAAATAAAGTCGTTATTTTTGTTGTTTTTTTGCGCACAAAAGTGTTCTCGCCGTTTGATAAACTTAAGATTGAGCCCCTGTAGTCACTTGGACTATTTTAACGATGTCTTTAATGACTTTTCGAGGACAGCAAGAGCCAGTCCCTCAAGAAGCCTATGGACTGTATGCAGGAGCGATCTTAATATCTTAAATATCTTAATTTGTGTTCCGAAGATGAACGAAGGTCTTACGGGGTTGGAACAACATGAGGGTGAGTAAATACTGACAGAATTTTCATTTTTGGGTGAACTAACCCTTTAACAATGGAAAAGTCTAGATCTTTTTGTTTTAAATAATTTATTTCTTTTAAATAGTATTTGTGCAGTTTGTACAATGTATGTGTGAAATGTCATTATAATACACTGCCATTCAAAATTCTGTGTTAAAAGCAATTAATGCTTCACTCAAGGCAGCTGGTGTCAAGGCATTTCACAAACTGAAAGTAAAAAAAAAAAAAAAGTTTGTATGGATTATATCTTTCTGTTTATGATTTTTCATCTTATAGGCTGCCCCCAAAGCGTTTCAAACAGCTGGTGGAGCGCTTGCAGCTCTTCATCACCACTCGCCTATTTCCTGCCAAGCCAGAAGACCTGCCGTCCATGGCAAAGTGCTCTTGGTGGATTCCCTCAGCCACTAAAGTCCTCTCCCTTCTTAGTGAGTACCATTGTGCTTGGCTTGGCGAAAGTCAAGATGCTTTCCCGTAATAATTTACCTGTAATAATTCTGAACAATAAAAAAAAATCTAAAATTGATCTTGTTTTAACAGATGCAGCAAACAGCATTTCCTGTCTCCCTATTGTCCCTTTCACTGATTTCTACAACCTAACCCTGGACCATATAGACTTTATGGAGGATTATCACACGTGGCAGGCTCACGGAAATTCAAACAGGTGTGACAGCAAAAATATATTTTCAAACTAAAATGTTGTTTAGGCAATTCTGCCTTTTTTTAAAGGATGTTTTACCAAACAATGATGCAAAGTAAGATTCATGTGTGAAACAATTAAATAAACTACAATTAGGTTAGGTTTTTAAAGAAATCAATGTTATTCAGTATGAATGCAATTTGCAATTTATTAAAAGTGACCGTAAAGACATTTATTATGAACATTTTTTAAATACATGTGATATAAATCAATCCTTTCATCCTAATTTTTTTTTATCATGGTTCTATAGAAATATTAGTTCCCAGCATTGAGAATACAAATTAAATTAAATGTTTCTTCAGCTCCAAATTAGCTTTTGAAGGATGATGTAACACTGGAGTAATGGCTGCTGAAAATGTAGCTTTTTTTAACAGGAGTAGATTACTGTCAGGATCAACAGCCTGTTTCCTTTACACACTACATTTCCCATAGTCCTCCCTGGTCATCACCTGCAAACCCTTCTTAATCACCCACAACTGTCTGCCATCATGCTCATCAACTCTCCATGAAAGCCAGCAACACACACACAGTGGTTGTCTGGTCTTGTTCTTGCTTTTTTTGTATTGTTTTTATTGCTAAACGCTACTTCCTTGCATCTACTTGTATGGATGGGCAAATGAAGCGTCATGAAGCACTGAGGCTTTCCCCTGATTGCTTCGGGAATAGTTTCCAAGCTTCATGAGTGACGAAAACAGTGCCATGTGGTGTTTTGTAAAAAACTCAAGCAGCCAAAACCTTGTGAAAGAAGCTAGTTCACTTTTTAAAAAAACTTTTGCTGATAATTTACTCACCCCCATGTCATCCAAGATGTCCATGTCTTTCTTTCTTCAGTCGAAAAGAAATTAAGGTTTTTGATGAAAACATTCCAGGATTTTCTCCATATAATGGACTTCATTACACGCATAGCTAAATAACATAGGCCTACCTCGTGATGACAAACCGGATCGAGCTACCGAGCGATACAGAATATTGTGCAATGCCTGGTTGTGGAAGAAGATGCTGCATATGCTTCCTCTGAATTCCAATAGGACTGCATGGATAAACTTAATTGTTAATAACGTTCTAGCAGATGAGGTTGTCCGTCTGTTCACTTCATTTCACTGAGGATTGTTGTGTAAACAAGACTGGATTTGCAGACTGATTGAGAGTAAAGAACGGTGATGTGCCGTCTATATGGATCTGACAGGAATTGTGCAACACACGGACTCTGGGTCGAACATGTATGGGCGAATCATTCCGGTTGCCATTTTACAACATTGGATGTTTCCCCCACGTACACCGACGAGGTAAGTTGAAAAACTCGTTATAATATGCAAAACTATTATCCACTCACAGCAGTGGGCATTTACTTCCAAGTCTTCAATGCGAGACGCCCATAAAATCTGTGCGTTTCTGAGCTAGGCTCAAAACTAGGGTAGAAAATATCTTATTAGTTATTAATAAGTTTCTTATTAGTTAATTTTGATGTTTTTTGAATGCAAAAACCAAGCGAATGTCATAATGTCACCTCAGAAAACAATATAATAAAATATAAAAACTAAATAAAAAAGTTCAAGTTTTTTAAGCATAAATGCTCACCTTGCTCTGTTCTGTGATGAGTGTTCGTGACTTTCCTGTTCAAACTTGTTCGTCAAAATGAACAAATCTTTTTTTGAGTCATGACTTCAAAGGGTCCTAGATAAGACACTTATTCATCGTCTGGTGTCGTTTAAAGCCCTTTGAAGCTGCACTGAATCTCTCATTTGGACCTTGAATTGTTTGGTTCCCAATGAAGTCCATTATATGGAGAAAATCCTGGAATGTTTTCATCAAAAACCTTAATTTCTTTTCGACTGAAGAAAGAAAGAATTGGACATCTTGGATGACATGGGGTTGAGTAAATTATCAGCAAAAGTTTTTTTTTTTTTTTTTTTTTAAGTGAATTACTCCTTTAAGTTCTGGCATGAATATCAATATGATGTAATAGAAGAATAATGTACTGTTACGGCCGACTCGTGTCAGCAACAATATAGGAAACCAACACGAGCGATCAATATAACCAACGTAGTTTATTGAATAAATCTAGGGGTTTCACAAAGTGCAATAAGAGCTGTTATGCCATTAGGAGTCTTCCGAAGTGCCGACAGTCGTCCAAATCCAGCTATCACCAAGAGCACAAGAGACGAACAGTGGATGATGTCATTTCCCCGTATGCGCCTCCTTCCATGCACGACACCGGAACCTATATCTCCACCTCCTAATTTGAATCAGATGTTCCTCATCTCCACCGCGACCTACCAAACAAGAAATAAAAACAAAACAAAACACACACCCCATAACATGTACACACATATGAATTGCAATAATTTGTATTCTTTATATTCATTTTATGACAGGGTATTTAAAAAAATGTAATTGAATAAGTCTGAATGAAAACGTACTTGTAAAGTAAGATCTGGGGCTTCGAACATTGCATGATGCATGCAAACTGAATTGCGTACGTGATTGGACAGAAAGTGAGGCTTTGTTTGTAGTTGGTCTCATGATTTCTACGTTAACAACAATCTCGAATCACGGCTTCATCTGGCACGCCCATTTATTATTATTAGACTTTATTGTCCACCTTAGTGGAAATTTGTCTTCGACTTCTCAGAACAAAAATACATCAGTGACACCACATTTAAATTTGCATTATAACACACAATTTAGAGTACAGTACTACCACCATCAACATGCAACAACAGAAAAATGGAAAGCAGCGCAGCAGATTATAAAAAAGGTAGTTTCCAACCCACTATAACACATTCTCAAAAACGATTTCAGTTTGAATTAAGTTCATGTATGGCATGGGGAATAAAAGATCTCTTATAGATGTTCCGGCTCGCCCTTGGGACCCTAAATCTACGGCCAGATGGTAGCAATTCAAACTCTGAGTTTAGTGGGTGTAGGGTGTCTGTTGATATCCATCGGGCCTTTCTAAGTACCGCCTTATCAAATACATCCCCAAGCTGCCTTTGTGACTTGCCAATCACCTTCCCAGCCGTATTAACAATTTTAGAAAGTTTGTTTTTATCTTTAACATTCAGGTTACCATACCAGGCTGTTATATTGTACTGTAAAATACTTTCTACAAGGCCCCTATATGCCATCTCAAGAATATGTTGACTGACCCTGAAACTCCTCAATCTCCTAATTAAAAACAGTCGCTGGTTAGCTCTCTTACAGATACTTTCTGAGTTCGTATTAAAACTTAAGGTGCGATCAATGATTGTACCCAAGTACTTAAAATTTTCAACTACTTCCACTGGCCGGCTATTAAGTACAACAGGATTGATGTTACTGGCCCCTCTGGTTTTCGTTTGTATTATAAGTTCTTTTGTTTTAGTCGCGTTAATTTCCAATTTAACAGTCTGACACCAGTCCTGTAGTAAAGTGACTTGGCTAAAGTAAGCTTCCTCCTGTGCTACATTATTTTCTGTAAGAAGTCCTACCAAGGCCATGTCATCAGCATATTTAAATAAACTAACATTAGTGCTGTGCACAGTCATATCATTTATATATATTGAAAATAACAAAGGTGACAGTACACAGCCTTGCGGTGCTCCAGTATTTATAACAAGCTCATCTGAGTAAACCCCATTCATTACGACTCTCTGAGGGCGGTCAGTTAAAAAACTTCTGATCCAGTGAATGAGCCCGCCATTCACATTCATCCTATGAAGTTTTTCTAAAAGAATGTCAATTTGCATAGTATTAAAAGCAGAAGTAAAATCAATAAAAAGAACCCGAGCAAATGATTTTGGTTGTTGCAAATGTTTGGCTATTTGATTTACAAGAGTAAGAGTTGTGTCCTCTGTGCCCCTGTGTGACCTATAGGCAAACTGAAGGGGGTCTAGTTGATTCTCAACAAAAGACATAAGATGGGTGCTGACCACTCTCTCCATACACTTAGCTAAGAGTGGAGTGAGTGCCACTGGTCTAAAGTCTCCAAGGACTATAGCCTTAGAGACCTTAGGCACAGGTATTATTGTGGACTTCTTCCATGAATTTGGACAAACACCACAATTCAGCAATCCTTGAAACAGCTGAGTGAGAACCCCTTTAAGCTGTTGAGAGCATACCTTTAACACCCTTCCTTGTAGGCCATCAGGCCCAGGGGCTTTATTTGGTCTTAATTTAGAAAGACACATGCCTACTTCTTCTTCAGAGAGCTGTATATGTTCATAGCTATCAATCTGATCACAGGTAATACTACAGCCTATTTTTGGGTCTCTCACATCATATCTTCCATAGAAGATGTTTAAATTATTAACAAATTTACCACATTCTGCTACGTTTACACTTTGTTTTTTTCCTTCCCTACCCATTATTGTGTTTAATCCCTCCCATGCTTGTTTTGCGTTGCCTGTGCAAAATCTTTTTTCAACCTTATTCTTAAAATCTACTTTTGCTGTAAAAACCTTATGCTTAAATTCCTTCTCTTTCTCCTTTACTACATCATTTTCTCCTCTAAAAAATGCAGCCCTTTTCTCATTCAGACACGTTTTAAGATCCTTTGAGAGCCATGGCTTATTATTACTAAACACTTGAACTATCTTAGAGGTAATAACAGTTTCTTCACAGAACTTAATATAGCATGTGATTGTGTCTGTCAATTCATGATAATCAGAGCATGCATCAAAAAACATATGCTCAACATGAGCTCTTACGCCTTGGTTCAAATGCCACATCACTACTTACCTTTATCGTCTTCTTGTGATCCTTTCATCTGTGTTCCTGATTCTTGTCTCCTCCATTATTGTCACTTCAGCGCCTACAAAAATAAGATGCATTATTATCGTAATCTTCAGCCATCATCAAGGTGTGTGTGGTGCAAATTACCCGTTTGGACTGTTTCATTCCTCATCCACTCTGGTTGTTGTGATATGTGAGCTGATGTGAGCTCCATTTCTTTTGATCCAGCCTCGCTGATTCTCTCCATAATGCAAGATGGCTGCCCAATTGAATTCTATGATGAGGATTTCCTTTAGCTCACTCACCAGGTACCATGGAACGATGAGACACTGAAAACTGTCTTTTGGAGTGGTTTGGACAACCAGCGGTTTCTCCAAGCACCAGTATGTGCTACCCCAGGTACTCTGGCATCATATGCTGGGGCTCATCCCTCACCGTTGGCAAGGTTTGCGGAAGACGCCAGCCCTACTCAGTTGCGGTCTCCCCTACCCACTCCAGTCGGAGTACCGTCAAAAGCCTTTTCCAGTCCCAGAGTTCGGTATCAAGCCTGTCCTTGCTCCTGAGTCTGCATTGGACCTTACTCTAACCCCCAAGCTTACATCAGAACCTGATCTAACTCCCAAGATCATTCCAGTGAGAGGAGTTCCCCAGTTTGTTCCCGAAAGAGAAGTTTGTCAGTCCTTTCCCAAGAGAGAATTCTTGAGTCGGTACCTGAGAGAGGAGTTTCCCAGTCCATGCCAGTGAGAGGAGTTCCCCAGTCCATTCCCAAGGATGAAGTTCCCAAGTCCATTCCCCGAGTCCATTTCAAAAGAGTAGTTCCCGAGTCCATTCCATTGTGAGAGGAGTTCTCCAGTTTCCCGAAAGGGAATTTCCCGAGATCGTTCCAGTGAGAGGAGTTCCCTAGTCCGTTCCAGTGCCCTATTCACCTGTTTGTCAACTGTCACCGCTCCAGGACGTCCGCCATGCCTGTTTTATTTACACACTACATTTCCCACAATCCTCTCTAGTCATCACCCGCACACCCTTGTTAATTACCACACCTGTCTTCTGTCATGCTCATCAACTGTTCATAAAAGCCAGCAGTGTTGTAGTACTCGAGACTCGGACTCGTCTCGGACTCGGTCTCGAGACCATATTTTAATGGTCTTGGTCTTGTCATGGACTCGTGTGCATTTGGACTCGGAATTGACTCGTACTCTAACATTTTTTTTTAGGACTCGGACTTATTCCCGAGTCCACTCGAGTTCAATTCAAAATATTTTTCATGATTATTAATGTATGTTAATAAAATATTTCGTTAAATTGATTGACACGCCCAGTGATTGGTGATTTTCTAGTGCAAAACTGCGCATGACAAATTGTAATAAAATTACTTTTAACACCACCTACTATGTGGCCTTTTTACCCTAAACTGATCATATTATTTAAACTGTAAGTAAATTCAGTAAAATAAAAAAAGGATTTCTCTAAGTAAATAGAAGTAAATTAGGTAATCAACCCTCACTGGTCTCGACTCGGACTCGGCCGTCTCTGGTCTTGGACTCGACTTGGACTCGACTCTCTATGGACTCGGTATTGACTCGGACTCGACTCTCTCTGGTCTCGGTCTCGACTCGGACTCGAGTGAGGTGGTCTCGACTACAACACTGAAAGCCAGCACTACACACACGGGGGTTGTCTGGTCTCGTCCTTGCTTACTTGGACTGCTTGTATTGCCATCATCTACTTACCTGTATCATAGTAGTCGTCGTCATCGTCGTCGTCTACTTACCTGTATCGTCTACCTCTGAGCCATTCATCCATGTTCCGGCTTCCCTGGATTCCCGTCTCCTCCGTTATTGTCTGTTAATCTCCTAAAAAGATAAGACATTATTATCATCTTCAGCAATCATCAAGGTGTGCGTGGAGCAACTCAGCAGTTTGGTCATTCCTTATTCACTCCGTTTGTTGTGATTTGCTACATTTGCCATCTCATTTCGCCCTGTTGGTTAAATAGCTGTTTCATCATTGACTTCACCATTCTCCATGAGTCTGTATTCCATGACAATTACATTTGAAAAGATATTCAAATAGACATTTTAAGTTATTTTAAATTATAATAATATTTTAGAATTACTGTTTTTACTTTATTTTACAAATAAATTCAGCCTTAGTGAGCGTAAGAGACTTTCAAAAATATTTTTAAATCTCATCCACCCCAAATATTGGTAGTGTATGCTTAAATGAAATAACTATTTTAATGGGATTATTAAAATAAACTTCATAATAAATTCTGTGAATCTAAAGTCTTTATTTTAATACAATCATTTAATTTTGTTTCATAAGTTAATTGACCTTGTTGTAAGGATGCTAAGGTAAATTTACTGAAAAAAAAAAAATATATATGTATATATTGTCTATTTATGTAGACTTTAAACTCCTCCCCCGGACAAAGTCATTTCTGATCTATATTTTCTCAGGTTCACCTTCTGTCAGTTCCCTTTCATCCTGTCCACAGTGGTGAAGAAGGCCATTATCCAGAGAGACTCTGAGCAGCAGATGATCAGCATGGCCAGGGTGAGAATTCACATGCCTAGAGAGCTCTCACTTTAGTCTTTAGATTAAAAAGCTAGTCTCTGTTTAAGAGAATGTGTCTTCTATTCTGAGAGAGCTTTCTGATAACAATCCTAGCATGGGTGGGGCAGCATAATCGCCATTCCTATGGCTCCCTCCCAAACATATGTGTCCAGATTGTAGTATAAACAGACATGTGGCTAGAAAATAATATCATCATACACCGCAAATAGACAGGCATCATCCATATAAGAAATGTTACTCAGAAACAAGACATCTAGAGGCATGGAATAAAACCTAGATGAAGCCATGTTCTGTAAACTTGTTTCTTTCAGGGGAATGTTTACTGATAAATGCTCTCTATGTCTAATGTAGCAAACCCTGGTGGACAAGGTTTCTCGCAGGCAGAGGGTGGATATGAGTCTGCTGTTTCTCAACATTAAAGTTAGGCGTCTGCAGCTGGTCAGTGACTCACTGGATGAGGTAATACTTCTTGCTCCAGATCTGTAAACGTAGAATTGCGTCTGTTCCTGGAGATGTTACCATGAGTTCCTTTGAACCACTGAAAACTATTTAGCTCTATAGGAGGACAGACTTTTGCCTGCATTACTCTGGACAAAGTAGCACACATCTAAATTTTGTTTTCCTAGGCTGAAAGGACTTTCAGCCAAAAGAATTTACATTATATTCTGGAAAGTTCTGAGTCTGGCTAAGACTTAATTTGGAAAAATGGCCCCTCCATAAATGTGTTCCCTCTTTTAATAGCTTTCAAGAAAGCGAGCAGACCTGAAGAAAAAACTGAAAGTGACGTTTGTTGGGGAAGCAGGGTTGGACATGGGTGGACTCACAAAAGAGTGGTTTCTTCTCCTGATTCGACAGATTTTTCACCCAGACTACGGTAAGATGGTCAGGACAAATAGTGCCAGTCTTGGATGATATACAGCTGATATATGCTGCAAAAAAGCAGTCTTGTATTACCATAAAACAGACAGATTTCAACAAATACAGTTCCTTGAGAGAATATTAAATATTAAAATGTATTCTTATCATCTTAACAAATATGTCTCCTCATTAACAAACTTCGGAAAGGAAAGAAAAAATTCCCAATAGTTGAGAATTTATACCCCCAAATTAAGTGCTTTTCTAATGGAATCGCAATTATTATTTTAACACTATTAATATTTTTAAGTCAGTCATTACTTTATTTGCCTATTTTATATTGACAGTGTGTTTAAATAATCACACAACCATGCTCATTTTGCTAGTTAATGGTTATTGTTTTATTTGGTGTCTGTGTGTCATGTTACAGGCATGTTCACATATGTGAAGGAGTCCCAGTGCCATTGGTTCAGCAGCTGGAAATGTGACAACTACTCCGAGTTCCGATTGGTTGGAGCCGTATCCTTTCATTTTCCTGCAGTTTATTCTGTATAGGTGGTCACGTGTGGGTGTGACAAACTTAAAATAGTGCATAAATATATAGTCAGCTCCCGCTTGGCGGACACTTCAGAGGTTCATTCTCGTCCTTCTGTTTTCTGGTGGGAAATGTATTTTCTGCCACCAATCTGTGCTATGATGATGTGAAAATGGAGCATATGCTATTTTTATGGCATGTGATTTCTAAATGTTAATTACACAGGGTTATAATGCAATATGGCACAAATGAAAGATGCACAGATATAGTTATAGTTATGAAATGGTTTGTAAATGATGTGGTGCGGGGGTGGCACGTGTCATTGTAGAGACCTGATCCACACGGTGCTCTTGGGAATGTGTAAGGAGAGACACGGTGGCAGCCAAAGACTGCCATGTCCTGCTTTTACCCCTCTAATTGCCCCTCTGGCTTTTGCTTCTTGATGCATCTGACTGTCGGTCCAGTGCACGACCTAGCCTGAGCCTGAGTTCTCTCTCCTGCAGCACAGACTGCTGCGTCACATCAGTGAAAAATTATGAAATAAAGATTCTTTTGTTTTGTCCCGTTAGGAACAGCCAGAGTTTGGTTTGTGTTGTCTCATTGCTGCAGTCCTCATGGAAACAGTCCCGCCTGTCTGCTCTCTCCCCTCTCTCTCTCCTGAGCTGAGGACTTTTTTTTCCATAGCCTTCACTACACATATGGAGAGCACATGGGGTTGAGTTGTCAACTACAGCTGAAAGCACTTACTCAGAGGGCTTTTAACTTTTTCCTCTAAATGTATTATACACCTGTTGGGTGTTCTTCCATACATCTTACTGTGATACTTTAGAGAACACTGCGATATTAGGAAATATGAAAGAACGTGTGCACACTAGTGGCACCAAAGCGTTTCAATGGCTTTCTTCATCTTCAGTTGATATTCAGTTGGGACTCTCAAACATATTACGGTACAATTACATTTGCTGCTAATAGTTGCACAGAAATGATATGTTGTGTCTCAAATCATGTACTAAACATTATGCAATTATACTATGTACGGAACCATCTATTCTAGTGTTTGGTTTTTATAAGATTATTATGTCATACAACATCGGATAGTCAGTCTGATTGTCCCTCCCCCTCAGCTTCATAAGGAAAGAGGTGACAGTTGAGTGCATGAAGTGTCCAACCACACTTTTTTTCAGCTAATTAAATGCATTACCTGGGGATTTGAATTTTACTTTTTCGAAAATTGAAAGGGAAAAAAGTGTAAGGCAAGCAATATGTCACCAAAGAGAAGTCTGACATGTGAGATTGAGTTATGATATATTAAACATGCATGGGCGAATTGTTCACAATAATATAAAAAATGTGCATTTAGAAAACGAATGGGGTAAATTTTTATTCTATGGCTGTCAAATTTAAAGAAAAAATAATTCCTTAAGCATTAGTACTTTAGCATATAGAGCAGCTCTGGCCTTCGATGTCCACTTTCCTGCAGAGTTAAGTTCCAATCCTAATCACCTTATTAATGGGCCCTTGATCCCACAATCCTGTGCATATAATACACTACAATTCAAATGTTTGGGATTGGTAAGAATTGTCTATTGCTGAAAGTCTCTTATGCTCATCAAGGCTGCATTTATTTGATAAAAAAAAAAAAAAAAAAAAAAAACAGCAATATTGTGCTGCATTTATTTGATTAAAAAAACCCCAGCAATATTGTGAAATATTATGTTTTAAGATAATTTTTTTTAATATTAAAAATGTTTTTCATTTTTCTGATGGCAAATCTGAATTTTGCCAAAAATACATTATCCTTTTAAAAAATAATATATAAATATATGGATTAAATCAATGATTTGTTGCTGAAATACTTTTGTCATTATTATCATCTGTTGAAAAAAATTGTGCTGCTTATTTTTTTTGTCAAAACCATGAACTTTTTTTCATAATTCTTTATAAAATATAAAGTTCGAAAAACAGAAATAGAAATCTTTCATAACCTTATAAATGTAGTCACTGTCACTTTTAATCAATTTAATGTAATCCTTGTGCAAATAAGTATTAATTTCTTTTAAAAAAAAAGAAAAAAAAAGCAATTACTAATCCCAAACTTTTGAATGGTTGTGTAGTTTGATAGGCTAATTTAAAAATGTGCATTTTTGTATATTTTACTTTTTAAACATTTATTTAATTGTTAAAACTCTTAAAAAAGCTTTGCAACCATTAAATATTTGCTTGGTTATAACTAAAGCTCACTTGATCTTGATTTAGATACAACTATGGAAAGTAAACTGTTAAAGGTGCTTACATACTAACAGACAGCGTTGACTTTGGTTTCGGACGCAGCCATTGTGTAACAGAAGGCTATGCAAGTAGGTATGTGTCAGATCTGTGAATCTCTCCAGCTGTGTGCACTTAACCCTATCTGTCAGCTTATGGGCTTGGCTGTATATAACAGCATCACACTGGACATCCGCTTTCCCCCCTGTGTCTACAAGAAGCTGCTGACCCCGCCCGTTGTGCCGTGTGACCTCGACACCCCCGTTGGCATGGCAACCCTCACCCTGGAGGACCTCCAGCAGATTATGCCTGTATGTACACAAGCTGTGACACACATCATGGCATAATATTCTAACCAGTGTTGGGAGTAACGCATTACAAAAGTAATAC